CTAATGATACTAAGGACAAAAGAAGATCCAAAATTGATACCAATTCGGCAAGTATTGACTCGATTAGAAACAAAAAACACGAACCAATACCATAAAAAAGAAAATGGGGGATTGTGAAATGTGTTCACCTGATTTGTGTCAATGTGGAACAATGCTAGGGCCACAGGGGGAATGTAACCGTTAACCATTCTGTTTGTTCTTGTATAACTGCAGCCTTTGGGGAAGCAGAATGGTATGTGTATAGTTCCTGCTTCTTGCAAAAGCCCCCTAACGAACGTTCTAAAATATCAGCTTTAACCGTTTTTTTTGTTGTTAACCATATAGTGTTATGTAAGAGAGGCCTATAAACCACATGTGCCGAAGAAAATACGCCTATTCCCAGTAAAGGCCAGCCTCTGCTCGGAAATAGCTGTGAATATGTATTAGTAGGAGAAATATAAACCAAGGACGAGAACTGTATGGTGCGCGTGTTGGTAGAGCAGAGGCTCTCCGCGCGCCCAGCGCTGTTTGCTTACCTTTACTCGGTCAATAAATTGTAAATTTTAATTGGAATTCTGTTTGAGGCTAAATCATTTATCACAGTTCAGAACAATTAAATAACTACACTGGTAATAATGTAGGAAAAAAAATCACTAGGGACTGAGACTAAAAAGAGTTAAAACCAAAGGGGTTTGGAGTGCTTTGCTCAAAGGGGACTTGGAATAAACTGCACTCCAGCCTGTGATCCAGAAGGGGACCAGTTAGGAGCTATGTAGACCGTAAACAACTAAAGTGTTCTATACGTATAAATATATACAAGCGAACTGCGCTCCTTTTTTTACACTTCTCCTTTCAAACAGAAGCTGAGATTTCCCATTGCGTTGTTTGCTCTTGCAGTGAGTGAAAAGAATTAGATTTGCTAAACCCTGCTTTCTAATAAGTTGTAACTCTGAAAGAATACAGTAGCTGGATACAGTGACATAAGCCATTCATAAATATGCCCCATAGCACTGTGGAAGTTGTGCTCACAAAATCAAGTGCTTGCTTTCACTTAAATTACCAAAATGGTGGCAGCTTGTTTGATTCATCTATAGGAAGCTTTTCATTAGTAGTGTTAAAATAGAACAGCTTTTGGAGGTGGGGGGTAATCAAGTTTCTTCCCTTCACAGTTGCACAGGAAAGCTTTTAAGGACAACTCAAAACCAGGGAGCAAAAAGCTCTTGTTTTTATGGAGCAGATACAGCATGCATCCATAGCTGTTTATGCTCACAGATAGACTGAAGGAGGCATAAGCCATGATTTTTGCATCTTTAATTTAGAAATCTCATAGCACTCGCAGGAGCATCGGCAAGACCAATGAACCGAGGCTGAACACCTGGTGGATTTAAGTGCTACGTGCCCTGCCTCCTTGGTTTGCAATCCGGCCTTGCTTAGATACACCCATGTATAATTTATATGCGCACCCATATTTAAAAAACGCTCCAGATCTGAGCATTTCCCTGCTTAAGAAGCCTCACATTTCGCGCTTAAAAAAAAAAGAAACCCAAAGAACTAAACCGTTGCGGAGGAGGGTGTTGAGTCGCAGCAGGAAGCGGCGGCCCCGCCAAGGAGCACAGGGGGTCGGGCCGGGGCCGACTCCCGCTCCCAGGCACCCTCGGCAGGGAGCGGGGAACCGGGGGGCGGGCAGCCGCCGGCTCGGTGAGCGGGGATGCGGGTGCAGGGCCGGGCGTACTCGGAGTGCTCCCCTTTGCTGCCCCAGTGGAGCGCGGCTCCCGCGGCGGGAGGAGGCGGGCTGCCCTCCCTGCTGGGCCCAGCTGGGAGCAGGCAGGGGTTGGGTGGCAGCGTCAAGGAGCCCGGGGGGAACAAAAGAGGGAGCCTCTTCCAGTTCTTTGTCCTCCCTGCTCCCATATCTCTCCAGCCCGTTTCGAAGAGAGATACTGGGGTGGAAACAAATGCTTGTGTGACCCCAAGCTGAGACGGGGGGAGCGGGCTTTGCTGTCATTACCAGTAGCGTAAACCGATACTGAAGGAGAGTGGAACAGCATTTGCTTGTTCTGCCGTTGGGGATGAGGATAGAGCCGGGATCTGGGTGGATAACGCTCAACCACAGGCAGTGGAAGAGCTTGAATACAAGGCATGTGCTAGTAAACAGAGCAAAGGCGATAAACTTCTTCCCTCAAAGGACAGGGATCCCAAAGGATTTGTAAGAGGACAGAGCAATAAATGGAATGTTTAATGCAACAGGAAAGCACTAAGCTGGCAGAACAGTAATTTTTGAGGCTTCACTCATTAAAAACAAGTGAACTGAGTGGGAAATTACTGCAGCAATATGCAAACCGCTTGTGTGAATGTTTGTTTTTTTAGAAAAAAGCAATTTGTGCGTAAGAGGAATGGAAGATCTTTACCTGAAGGCAAACTCAGTTCTGATGTGAAGGGCAAAGCATGAGGATTCCTTGCTTCTGCTGATTGCTCTCTCTGTTTTCTAGGTTCTGGATGTAGGAAATATGAATGACTGGCAGAGGAAAAGCCCTCTAGACTGGGAAACGTATGTGAACAAAATGGTGAAAGTTGCTGCAATTGAGAAGCATGAATATGAAGGCTGGGTCTTAACAGTGGATCCAGTTTCTGCCAGGTAAGTACTGAAGCTTTTTTTTCTGTAAAGCTAAGAGAAAATGAATGTTTTGGAAAAAGATCCCAAGACCAAAGCATTTATTTGGAGCAAAAACTGCGTGTTTGGGCTATGTCCCCTGCTTTTTTAGTTGGCAAGGCCTAAGAGAAAGCAATACTGTAGTTGATGGGGCCAGTTCACCTAAATTCACTTTAATCTCATTCAAAGGAGTTTGGGGAATGGATAATATCTGGATTCATGCTGACTTTATTGTGGATCTGAGGTTAGCACTTTACGTAAATATCCGCCTGTTTAGAACTACTTTTAATAGTATACCAAGGCCTACTTCACAGAGCAGGAA